TAACGACGAGTGTACTCGATCCAGGCGATCTCTGAATCCCAAATGAGTAAGTGAACAACATTAAATTCTATGTACATACCATCACCAGCCTTTACGAAAAGTGCATGATCCACCACCTCTTTCCACAAGTTCATCACAGAGTCTTTGGACATATTCTCAGCGTATGAGGAGAACTTTTCCAGAAAGCTGGTGAGATAGTTCCAATCATTGATGGAACCCAAGTCCTTTGCATGAGACCTGACTGCTTTCGCGTGGTCGGTGGCCTGCCTGAAGATTTCCTCTTCCGTCAAGCCTGTTTTGAGATTGATTTCAAGATAACCAATGATCGTGTCGCGCTTATTCTCAGATGCAAACAGAGCATCGTGACCTTTGTAGTCCTTCAAGCTTCGAGGCATGATTCGTTCACCATTTATAGAAAGGTAAACTATTCCAGTGCCCAGCTTTTCCTCTGTGCCGGTGTCGATCAAAGCCTCCGATAGAGAGATCTCTGCAGTTCAATCCATGAATGCATGCTGAAGGTTGGCCTTTCAGAGCTGCTCACCATAGTGATGGATATTCGGTGAATCCTGGAGATGCAAATCCATTGGACGACCAATTACAGGAATGCTGCTGAGCAAGGACGCCGCAAGAAAGAGGGCGAGGGACGGGCGCAAAGAGCATGGAGGCAAGAAACGAAGTCGCATAGTTTAAGATGTGTAAGTGTACAATCTGTATCATACAATGTCAGCAGTCGAGAGACTCATACAAGTGGACTTGATTCTGTCTGGAAGAGTTGTAAGCTGGACGTAGACTGATGTGGGCAGTAGTCAAGGTGGAACAAAGAAAGGAATACGTGTCCTGAGGCTTTTTGGCTTTTCCGAGTTCGGGGAAGATCGGGGAAAAATTCGACTCGCCTCGTCACCATCGGTTGCCAGTGATGGCAGCCCCGGCGGAAACCTATACATAAATAGGAGAGCAGGATTGGATAGGATTGGATTCAGCAATGCAACAGTAGGTGATGAACAAGTGACCCACTCGTAATGGACAAGGGTGGACATTGCCGGGAAGACAGTGAGCCATTGATTGCTCACTCATGACGAGCTTGCGTCCATGGCGTTTGTCGGCTTGAGTAGAAGGGCGTCGGTGGGTGTAGGGTCACAATTGTCACAAACTGGTTTACACAGGACCACCCCGCATTTGACGACAAGAAAACTTGTACCTTGACCTGGAGAAATTGGAAGGACGACCATCAAAAATCGTAGAGAAATTGATGGTTCCACACGAGATGATTCAACTTTGACGATGTCACATTTCGGTTGCAAACATGATTGAAGACAGCACGATTGCAAAGCATACTGTACACGGTAGATTCTGAACCCTCTACAGAACGGAGCATGATGAGGGTATAAGGGTGACAATCAACGTCAGTACGAGCTCGAAGGAACCTGAAGATACGTCGCGCAATGACTTACATTGACATTACTTATTTGTGCTCACAAATTCCGATCGATAAAGCTCTGAATGACCCCGGACGGTGTGAGTGGATATTCTTTCAGCTGTACCTCGCCATCGACAATCAAAGTTGTTGGCTGAACGAATATCTTTCGGGGCTTGTTCAATGGAAAACCCAATGTCAGGACCACGTTTTCCACCAATGTGTCTTCAAATAACCACTAACCAGTTTCTTCTTCAGAACGAGATCTCTGATTTCACCATCCCAACCAGGTAACGGCGTCGTCAGCTCTGTGTAGAACTTGCGTGCTCCTGCGCCATCGGCTGTGCTTTTGTACACTTGTAATGAGATAAGGAGTTTTCCTACCACGTCCTTTCCGTGTGCAAGAACTTTATCCCGGTCGACCTGCGGTAACAGTTTAGCGTTGTCATACCTATAAAGTGCGCAGGCTCCAAACGAAATCATGATGCAACTCACACGAACATACAAGTTCTCCAGTTCATTAGAGGAGTTGCGGACCTCTTCGAGTCGAGCGATCCCGTTCTTGATCAGGAATTGGGTGATACCAAGCCTATCGAAAGAGTTAGTGCGGTCTATCATGGGTGATACTCGGAGCCGTAGATTTACCGAGCTTGCATATGTGCTTGACCATGCTTTTGGGTGACAGGGTCGAAGAACTCCAATGCTCGAAGGCCCGCGCGAGCCATAAGAAGGAAGGTAATGTATTGTATATCGGCGATCTCTTTCTCGTCGACGTACTAAAGTTCAATCGATATGTGAGAACATGAAGCACGCAGTCCGTCTTCGAAACTTACTTTGAAGATCTTCAGGATGTCTCTGTTGCTGACCACTAACATAAGAAATGAAGTGAGCGCTTCGAAATGGTATGCGCCATATCACGACTCACAGAAAAGGGCAACAGACTCAGCCCTACATTCTTCCATCGACGAGGAAACTTCTCCAAGGACTGCATCTGGCGTTTGCCCGGGCTTGTACCATGACGATCTAGGTGAGTTTCGGTTAATTCAAAGAGCGAAGAAGTGCAAAATCAACACCTACACTGGCTTGCCAGTCAATGGATTGACGACCTGTGAAATCTCATTGCATGACGAAACACTCAGAAACAAAATACTCAGTAACTTCTCACCCCCGGTTCAAAGTTCTTCGAGCCATCCGCGTTCTCCTTCAACAGTTTCCCCGAACCGTGACCTAGGAGCTCATGATTAGCCACCTGCAGTTCAAACGCCCGACTGTCCCATTCGTTGTAGAGTTTGACATCATCAGGGTGGATGAATGTCAGTTCTTCGTCTACAAATACAAGACGGGCAAGGCGGGTTAGGATCTTCGATACAGGGAGGAGGAAAGGAAATAAGAACTGACTTGGTGCCTTCGCAGCGAGTATGTTCTAGTCGATGCTGTTTAGACACGTGGGAACATAACGCGAGTGAGAGAACGTACCGCCAATGAAACGTTCTTGAAGCCTGTAGTTTCTCGAATGTCGTAGTAATTCTAAGTAGGATGCGTAAGCTGTTATGTCGTCCTGATAGCAACACATAATGAAATAAACTGACCGGAATCTACAATGTCATAAACACTGATGATTAGCATGAAGCATTGGCATAGGATACTCCAATGGCGCTCTTACATTGATACCGGCAGGAATGCCTGGTACCAGTCGCATTAACGTATCAGCAACCACGACCACGAATTCCGACGCAAGGACAGACTCACCGTTCGTAGCGAACGAAACTACTTCGAGAGCCGTGAAATCAGGTTTCCTAAACGTCTCTACTTCGAAATCATGACCCCAAGGTAAGACCTTGATCAATTCTGGTGCTTGCGCGACCAGAGTGTCATATTTGGCACTCAGTGCCTTATTCACGACTGCAGTGAAGCCTAAAATGTGCGAACGATCGTACGTCAGTCAATTTGAAGGGAAAACAGATGTGAGTCGAAGTACCTTCCCATTCAGCCCTGCCACCGTAGGGATCTACGTAGGTTTCAATGAACTAGTGGATATATGTCAACAGAGCCGTCTATGAAAGACTGAAAGTGTTCGAAGCGCGCACCCCGATATAGGACTCAATAATAGGCCCGACGTCCTTCACCCATTCTGTTGATCCATCCTTGTGAGCCTGTATCGATCCTGTGTTGAATCTAGATGACCCGTCCGCAGGATGATCAGAGAGAGAATCAGAAACGCGCAAATGGGATGAGCCAGCACAACACATACGAGTCAATGTATTTCTCAATCATCTTTGTCTGATATGCGTTCGCCGTGTACTTTGTGGCCTATAGTGGTTGAATGAGAGACAATGTCATTGGCTACGAGTCTTGTGGCGGGGGAGTTCAGTGGAAGCACACCTCTTCGAGTGCAACGACAACTTTCTTCAATGCTTCCGCATGATCCCCATACTCGATCGTTAGCTTGAATTTGCCTGATTCTGCATCAATGTCGTGTACGGACAAAGGCTGGGAGTGCGCAGAAGCCACGAGGAGAGTGAAATCCTTAGCTCCGTTCTTCCGTACACTGAAGCGTTCGATGCTTGAGATGAATACTGGAGGTTGAGAAAAGGATGTTGATATCGAGCGCACCGAGTGTTGAGAACATCAACCCCTAGCTTCTCTGCAGCAGTTTGCACCGCTCCAACTTCCTCGTCTGAGATGATTTCCCCTAGGTAGTAGTTTGATACATGTCCTTCACTGCGTTTGCCGATGAACATAGAGGATTCGGGTTGTGTGCTATATATGTGTCCCTTCAACTGTGATTGTGAAGTGTTAGCCCTATGTGCCTTTTGATTCGGATATAACAGAACCTTGGACCATAAAGCGAGAGCTTGATCTGAATTGGCAGACTTCCGTATGACAGCCTCAAACTTGGTTTCCGAAAGTCGGGGGATTATCTTCGTGAATCCAAACGAGCGGTAGTTCGTGAGATTGCTCAAGACTCTGACGATGGAGGATTGAGGAGGAGGCTTAGAAGTGATCCGAAACGGAAGCGAACGTACTGGACCGTGTACTGTAACAGATCCTCCCATTCGTCCGAGGCCAATCCAGAGGCGGATTGCAGTGTTTGAAGATTGGTGAGGTTTCCGTGGTCACTGAACGTCAAGATCAAGAGATCGTATAATTCTAGAGGGATAGAGTCACATCTGTATCTATCAACCACCAAGAGTCATGACATACCATTTGCCTCCGGTGTCCACTGTGCTTGAATGATTCGAGCACCAGCCCAAGCAGCTTCAGAAACGTAGTGTGTGTACTTCTTTTCCTTGGAACTGTTTCGGAGCTGAGTCAATAAATGCTTGGTAGAAGTGTTAACGTTCAACACCAAGTACCTCAACTGCGCGAATGTTTTGGAGATATCCAAGCTGCACAGAGGAGCAGCGCGGTCAGCTAAGAACCTTTCGGTGTGAATGTTGGCGGAGGCCATGATTCTCCTGGGTATGAATGATTTGTGGGACGGAGACGGACGAACGAGGGTAAGTTGTTGCAAAGAGCGACGCCACATATAGGAAGAAAGGAAAAAGCTTGGATAATATTTTTTCGTGAGAAAGGTTCATTTAATGGGGGTATAGCTCAGCTGGGAGAGCAGCAGACTGAAGTGTGTTGTGGTGAACCATTTGTGCACATTCTGAAGGTCCCGCGTTCGATCCGCGGTACCCCCAATTAGATGTCCCTGGACTTTTTGACATTTTTTTTATCACAACACTGAGTATTGGCCCACAGTAAACAGATACAGATGCTAATCCCTTAGATCGTCCAACGTTCGTCGTACTATCTATCCCATATGTACAACCTCAATACTCTCAACTCCGGTGAGGGCATGATTTCTCTGTGAGACCGTATCAGGATCACTGCAGTGTTACCACCGACGTTGCATAAACACTCACCTTGATTCCTATGATTCGTTCATCGTCCATCAAAACTCCATGAAAGTCATACGGCTTTGCTGATTTCACGCCGACGTAAGGTAAGTATCCACCAACATCCTCAGCAAATACTTTCATCTGCTCGTGCGTATCTCTGGATTCTTCCACCCAGATTCTTCTCGTCAAGTCTTCTCCTTCGTCAGCCCTCACGTTGTCTGAAAAGATACCATGATACGGTGATTGCTGGTTCTTGAGGTTCTTCCTGACCCTTCTGACGTGATTCTGGTTGAAGTCCAGAACCGTGACAGGCTGAGGCGGACCAGGCGCGCGCGCGCCTACATAGGCATACCGTTGTCCAGAAGTAGTCGTGATCCATTCTGTAGGTATCGAGCGAGCTCGTAGCCACCGAGTTCTGGGAGGACCCCACTCGGCCCATGGGATGGGTGTTGATCGTGGTGGTTTGGGACGTATTTCTGCTTCGTCGAGGAGTTGAAGGAAGCTTCGCCGATGGGCAAAGAACACGAAAGGGATGGGCACCCGAGGTTCAATTGGGGATATAGTCAGGTGGAAGACCATTATTGACTCATAGGGAGAGGAATGAAACGGACGAGATGTGTCACAGTTGGATAAGACAGGGTTCGGGGCACCTCTGCAGGCGAATTCGGATACCATGAAACCGGGATGTATCACGGGAAGGGCAAGGGAGAGTTCGGGTTGTTGACAAATGATGGGTAGCGTTGACTCTGGCGAATCACAAGGAATCCGCCAAATCTCAAGACATTTCTCGTGTGCATTCGTGACGAGTAGTATATCCGCAGTTAGGAATATAGCACTTTGATATCGACGAGAATCAACATAGAGTTCCTGCCAGTGCATGAAACATGATTAGATCTAGAGTCACCCGCGAAGCAGAGTCCGAAGCACATACGGCCCGCACGATCCCTCGTTTCCAATCGAGGATCAACAGTTTATCACGGTTGTGGTGACCAAAGCTCACGTCTCGAATAACCAGTGCGGCGAGATTGCCGACTATCTCGATGCCTACGCCCAGGTTGTCTGGGAGAATGGGTTGGGAGAATCGCATGGGTGCTCTTGAGAGCGGGTGGGGCAAGCCAGTTGATAATTGGAGAAAGCGGATTTGTAGGGTCGAGATGATATCGTCAGAGCTTCTGTAGGAATTAGTATGAGGATAGATGGAGAAAGGACGCTCAGAATCAGGTGTCACTCACATCGTCAATACCCCAATCAAATCATGTTCTGTCACCGCCAAACCGAAATCCAATAGTTCATCTGTCACTGGTATATGATCCCATCGAGGGACTTCGCTTTGTTGTCGCGAAGGAAGCCGGAGATGGTTGATAGAGTCTCTTGATACACCCGAGAGAAGGTATGTCCCTCCTGAGAGTTCATATATGACCACGGCGGTATTGTTCACAGGAACTTGCTGGATGAAATTGGGCTGAAACAGAGCCCACGCTGCTTCCCTACGCTGGAGCAGTTCGAGCCGATCTGGAGTACTGAGTTTACACCGTGGATTATCTTCCAATCCTGAAATGTCCAAGGAAATCCGGTATTGGATGAGAGAGGAAGTCGTTATGATTTCGTAGAGAAAGCGACAGGTAGCCTGACAGGAGAGTATGTCGTTAAAGGAGCATGAGAGAAGAATTTGAGCTACAAGCTCATTTGGTAGATGTTGCAGAGACAGAGATCCCATTCCAAGAGCGCTTGAGGGTGACAGAAAAGTGAATTTCCCTCGGACCGTGACCACGGTTAACCACAATTCGCACGGGTCAAAGCTAAATTACTTTATATGTCTTGGCGCCAAAAACTAATTGTGAGCAAATGCGTCTTCGTCTTCAAACCGCCACCGAAGAACTTCCTCCTCTCAAAGCTTGGTTTTCGTACCCGCTTGACTCTCCGCCAAGGTTCATTGCTGATCTCAAAAATCTAATATGCACCACCATCAAAACATTCTCAACCGCCAACATCTCGTTTCGTGATATTCAATTAGAGTTGGACGGCTTTGAGATTTTGGATGAGCTTCCTACAGAACAGACTCTGAGAGATGGAGACCTTCTTGTTATAACAAAAAGGGAAGAGCGTAGCAGTGGGTCGAGCAAGAAACGCAAAGCCACCGATGACGGCTCTAGTGAGTTTCTCAGTGTTGAGAGACGCATTGTGAGTTAACTTTTGCAAAATCTGCCAGGCATCCCAGAAAAGCGGGCCCGTTCCTCAAAATCAGAGACACGGCCTTCACGCGCCAGAACAGTCTCTTCTTCCTCTGCTTCTTCGTCCTCCGCCTCCTCATCATCCTCATCCTCAGAGTCGGAATCAGAATCTTCTGACTCTGAATCAGACTCGGATTCGGACTCAAGTGCTTCAAGCTTGGAAAAACCTACGACTATCTCATCTCATTCCAAACCATCATCTGTCAAGTTAGTCTGTCCTGCCTCGTTTTCATCTCATTGCCTGATGTACATTCACATAGATCCACTACCGTGGCGCAAGAAAACCATGTTCCGCCTGGTCTTGGCTCCACCAAAACGCGTAAGCGTAACATCAGGCGGAGGCTGAAGAAGAAGTACGAAGCATCCCAGGTCCAAGACGTTGCTGATCCTATACCCTCACCTCCAAAACGAGTCTCGTTCGCGAACGGTGCTCCACTCGGTCCCAGAACGACGAATGCTGCTGCTCCCGCATCTACTCCCACAGCGTCTTCCACGATTGCACATCCTAATCTGACGATGTTCTCTCTCGGGAACAAGAACAAGAAAAAAGGATACAAATACGCGCTTGGTCCACCGACTGCTCAGAAGAAAGTGTTCAATGAACTTGATTCTTACGATGACCCTTCTTCTGTCGATGTCAGGGATGAAGCAGAAGCAGAAGCAGACGCCGCCGACATGGACCGAGCGTTACCTCCCTCCACTGCCATTTTCACTTCTGCACCAGGTGACACTTCTTCCAAAAACCGTGCGCGTGTTGTCCCGCCGTCCGAACTCCAGTCGCTTGGTAGATTGCCCAAGAATATGTTTGTCACGAGTGTGGATGTTGAAGCAGATTTATGGATACGGAAAGGGTCTTACCTCAAGAAGAAGAAAAAGCAGCGTCAGAAGGAGAGGGAGAAAGAACATCCGAGTCTCATGATGGACTTGACACAAGATGGCGAGGAACCCCCGATCACTTTGGACTACGGTGCTGCAGAGGATGAAGTAGTACTTGAAGAAGCGATATCTAGCTCCCTACTAGATCCTGGTGCGAATTATGTTGAAGCGGCAGACACCAAATCCGCGTTGATCTGGTCAGTGGTCGAGAACGATTACGAAACACTCACACCAGTCACCCTCGATTTTCTTCAAAATGGCAAGCTAGTCGCTTGGAAAGCACTAGCTCTCAACCCAGAAACCTATTCTCCCGAAGTGTTGCTTCATATCGCTACCGTCACAGCTGTGTCTGCAGCTCTTACAGACGAAAACACTTCAAGTTCTCTTTCGCTGTCGATTCGTCGATTAATTCGTCCTGGTTGGGAGGAATTGGATATGGAGGACGTCGAAGGTAGTTTTGAATGGGAGGATGTCCAACAAATGGGATGGAAGGCGGTCAATAAAGTTGGACGGTTGTGAATTATTCTTGGGTTGCGAGTGGTGTACATACAGCTGGTTATGCAGCTAGTCCTTTACGCCCTACATATGCAGGCACCTCGCAGTTGCACTTTCCGTACATGTGTTTTAGTCGACCGCCTCAGATTGCTTGCAAGTTGCAACTTTTCCGCTGAGTGCCGACTCATGCCGAGTCCTGACGCTCTGTCCAAGACCCCTATTTCAAATTTCGGACTTGGACCGTTTCAACTTGTCTTGTCAGATAACTCTTCTTCTTCATGCAGACCCATTTCTACTGTATCGACCAGAATTTCAAGCCACTGTGGAGGGAGCGCGTCTGTATAACTTCTCAAGGCAAAACCATCGGTGATCTCATCCTCGAAGTCATAACGGCTACTATCATCTTCGGGATCATTGATCACAGTGTTCAATTCGACGGTGTATCTCTACATAGGCCTTCGTTGTCTTCATCGGCTTTCGAGCGTCCTAGGCTTGGACCAAAAGAAAATCTGCGCCAGATTGGTCCTGCGTTGGATAGAGACTCGCTGATCCGAACGTACTCTAATATCTTCGACTCTACCGTACGCTTGGTCGCTGTGTTCCATCTGAAAGAACACCCAGAAGACCCAGAGAGTAGTACGACGGAGAGAGACTCCATGCCCTTCACGAGAGAAACGGCAGCTCAGCACCCCTGTGTTCTCAAATTGCACGCTCAGAACTCTAACAAAATGACAAGACAGGATATCTCACTAAACGACATTCGGCAGGAGATGAACATCGCTGGGAATAATCGAGTGTCTTCGTTCGTCAACGGTTGTACTGAAAGAAAAAGAAAGATGGACATCAAGGTGCGATGCCTTCCTCTTCCTGTTGTATTCACGCTCAAAAAGGTGTTCATCGTTTAGACCGTCCAAGAAATTCAGTCGTTGCGTAATCCACCCTCAAACTTGGAGGCTTTGGTTGAGGTTGTGATGACTCCTGGGGATAGCTTCGTTTCGAAAGAAAGCAAGCACTTCCAGTGGGTTCTAGAGCAAGACAATTCAACCATCATGAACGATCAGTTGGGATTCAAAGCATTCATGACCAGTCTCTATTTCTTCCCGCTCGCATCTCTATTCTGGGCTCAAGGCCCTCAAACTACTCATCTAATCTATCACTTGTAAGTCTTTTCCGAAGTTCCCGGGCCCGTTTCTACAT